CTGCATTCATTGAAAAGTAGACGAACACATGGCAAAGCTACAGGCCATGTTTCTGAGTCAAATGATTTTCCACTACTTTAAAAAATCTTCTGGTTAATTCAAATAAAAATAACCTCTACAAAATTCAATTCCACCTGAGTATATGGAGAAGATATGGTTTGATTAATCCAGAGAAATATGTAACCAACATTTATTTGGGGCTGCAAGATTCATTTCCTGGCCACATTTCTGTATTAAATTATGATTAAAATAATTTTCATTTGTAAAATCATTAAATATTGGAGGTAAAAGAAGGTGATCTAGAAGTAGTGTCTGGAGATTATATATAGACCATTTTTAAAGCTGAGAACTGACAACATAACACTTAAAAGATAATCTTGCTTAAAAAAAGAAGTCATACCAATCAGCTTGATATTATTGTCTTCATCTAGTAGCAAATTTTCTATCTTCAAGTCTCTGAAATAAACAAAACCACACAACATTTCAGATAAGCATTTGAAACAGAGGAATAACATTTTGCTTCCGAAGGGGAACAAACTATTTTAGAGCCATTTTCAACCAACCTATAGAGCTTGCTGCCAAAACACTCAGTCAATAAGTTAATATTTATAAGACATGACATCATTAACTGCTGTAGACTATAAATGGATTTCAGAGAAGACAGAGAACAAAGAGGGCAGAGAAACCATGGCAAATTTTCCAGAAGTGGGACTTAAACTTACATAGAACCACGGTTAGAAGAGAGTGGGACACACCATTTAAGACAGGCACTGCCCGAACAGTCAGGGAAACATAAACATGGCCGTGGGCTTGTGACACCGTGAGCAATTTCAGTCAGAGTAAGGGGTAGATTTGGGTAAGCAGTTAAATAAAGATGGGGGAGGGCAGTGAGTGGCACAGTGGAAAAACACAATTTAAGAAATCTTGAGGCTACCCATATGGAAAGGTTCTGGATTCGGATCCAGAGAATTCCAGATGGGGGGGTGGGCAGTGAGTGGCACAGTGGTAAAAACACAATTTAAGAAATCTTGAGGCTACCCATATGGAAAGGTTCTGGATTCGGATCCAGAGAATTCCCTAAGTACACCAGCATGCACATATCTGTGACCTGGGACTGGCTGGGTTTGGAAATGGATCACAAGGTCAAGATACTGTCAGGGTCTTGTCTCTCTATCTCTGTCTCTGTTTTTCTCTCTCTCACTCATGGAAGAAATAAAAAAAAAAAAACTTTTAAAAAATAAAGTATACAAGCCAACTTATCACTCCTATGACTTAGATGCTTAGAGCCCAAGTGTCATGACCACTTAGCAGGTAATAATAAATTCATGCTTTTAGCAAGCAGATATGGGGAACAGAAGAACGAACGTCAGCGATGTCAGCACCCTAATCCTCGGTGTTACACCTGAGTGTAGGGGATTACGTTTGCAGATGGACTGGAGATTACTGATAGATCATGATGGTGCCATTCACTGACAGTGAGGTGGCAGGTGGTGGAAGAAGGAAATACACTCAGGGCCATGCTGAGGGCGAGGTCCCTATGGTATCCGGCCTAGCCAACTCTAAGCTCACTGAGGGCAGAGGCCATGTCTGTCTTGTTTTCCACTATAGCCCAGTACTTCTGCCTTGTTTTCCACTATAGCCCAGTACTTCTGCCTTGTTTTCCACTATAGCCCAGTACTTCTGCCTTGTTTTCCACTATAGCCCAGTACTTCTGCCTTGTTTTCCACTATAGCCCAGTACTTCTGCCTTGTTTTCCACTATAGCCCAGTACTTCTGCCTTGTTTTCCACTATAGCCCAGTACTTCTGCCTTGTTTTCCACTATAGCCCAGTACTTCTGCCTTGTTTTCCACTATAGCCCAGTACTTCTGCCTTGTTTTCCACTATAGCCCAGTACTTCTGCCTTGTTTTCCACTATAGCCCAGTACTTCTGCCTTGTTTTCCACTATAGCCCAGTACTTCTGCCTTGTTTTCCACTATAGCCCAGTACTTCTGCCTTGTTTTCCACTATAGCCCAGTACTTCTGCCTTGTTTTCCACTATAGCCCAGTACTTCTGCCTTGTTTTCCACTATAGCCCAGTACTTCTGCCTTGTTTTCCACTATAGCCCAGTACTTCTGCCTTGTTTTCCACTATAGCCCAGTACTTCTGCCTTGTTTTCCACTATAGCCCAGTACTTCTGCCTTGTTTTCCACTATAGCCCAGTACTTCTGCCTTGTTTTCCACTATAGCCCAGTACTTCTGCCTTGTTTTCCACTATAGCCCAGTACTTCTGCCTTGTTTTCCACTATAGCCCAGTACTTCTGCCTTGTTTTCCACTATAGCCCAGTACTTCTGCCTTGTTTTCCACTATAGCCCAGTACTTCTGCCTTGTTTTCCACTATAGCCCAGTACTTCTGCCTTGTTTTCCACTATAGCCCAGTACTTCTGCCTTGTTTTCCACTATAGCCCAGTACTTCTGCCTTGTTTTCCACTATAGCCCAGTACTTCTGCCTTGTTTTCCACTGTACTCCAGTACTTCTGCTTTGTTTACCACTATACCCCAGTACTTCTATCTTGTTTTACACTATAGCCCAGTACTTCTGCCTTGTTTTCCACTATACCTCAGTACTTCTGCCTTGTTTTCCACTATAGCCCAGTACTTCTGCCTTGTTTCCACTATACCTCAGTACTTCTGCCTTGTTTCCACTGTATCCCAGGTACTCAGTAAATACCAGCGACTCTAGATTACCAAAGAGATCATTTTGAATTTTAGAAGCAAAAAATATATATTTGAACAAAAGTATATATTTGGTCATCAAAACCATCTAAGTCAATGATTATATGCTCTGGTTTTTGGTTTTTTTTTTAGAGAGATTTTTGCTATAAGGCATATGCACTCACCTGAGAGACAGAAAGCAAGAAATCACCCCCCTGGGGGCATGGCCACAACACAATCCCTTCTCCTTCATTGTCTTCTCAGAATCTTCGGCATGTACACACACATGCCCAGCATGAGTTTCAAGTTGTAGGGTCCGGAACTCAAACCTTGTTCGATTATGTGGAAGTCCAGCAACATAACCATTATGCCATCTCCTTGTTCCTGCTCTGGTGTTTTAAACTGTAGTCTGTCACCTCAGGCATACCTTGAATATTAATCATGTAATAATATTCTTCTTAAGGCCAGGTGGCATAGTGGTTAACGTGCTCGACTTTCACATGGTCGACCACATTCAAATTCTGGACCTGGCAGCTTGAAACACACCGGGGGCATATGTGTGCATGCCCAAAGTCATGAGAAGAGAAGAGAAGGGATTGCAGCATGGCCATCCCCCCAGGGGGTGAGTTCTGACTTTCTGTCTCTCTGTCCCTCTGGTGAGAGTATGCATCCTATAGCAAAAATCCCTAGTGGAGAGGGAGGAATATTCTTCTTTTGCACACATACTCACACACACACACAAAAATGTGCTCTCTTTCACTGTGTTGAAGCACCATTTTTGGTCAGCTTTTATTTTCCTAACTTTGAATAGAGAGATGGGCAAAAGAAGTATTTTTTCCTGTTATCTCTTTTTCCCCTAACCTCCACTATAAGGGATTGAACAGTGTAATCACGATAAAACAAACTTGGAAACTGATATACTATGTCAATATTAGAAATCCACAAAAGGGGGCAGTAGTAGGACAGTCTGTGGCTAAGCAGGACAGTGGTATCTCACTTAATGGGGCCTGTGCTGTGAGTCACGTCAGTTCAGCGTGTTTTATAAGAGAAGCCAGACATCTGAATTGAGGGTCGTGCACAATGGCACGTGTCTGTAATCCAACCATTCAGGAGACTGAGGCAGGAGGACCTCAAGTTTGAGGCCAGACTGAGTGACAAAGCAAGATACTGTCTCTAAATAAAAACAACACAAAACAAAAACTTCTTTTAAACAAGAACTTTTTAAAAAGCATTCTGAATTTTTCTTCAATTTGTAAGCACTACCAACAAACACACACTTAAAACAACACTGCATGGACCAATCTTACAAGCAAGAAGTGACCTGTAGACCACCAATTTTCAACATCAGCATGGTGGTTGCTGACACCTTGAAAGGACAAGAGATTGCCCAGAGAGAAGGTAGAAAAAAGGAGGAAAGAAACCAAGGACAGGGAACCAGCAGTTGGCGTAATGGCTATGTGGCTGGACTCCCACGTACTCGACCGTGGTTCGAGTCCCAGACACGGTGGCTTAAATTGACGCCAGGCGCGTGTGCATGCGTGCCCAAGATCCCGAGAGGAGAATGGAGGAGAAGGGATTGCGGCGTGACCATGCCCCCTAGGGGGTGATTTCTCGCTTTCTGTTTCTCTGTCTCTCTGTCTGTCTCTGTCCGGTGAGTGCATGTGCCCTATAGCAAAAACCTATTCCCCCCCCCCAAAAAAAAGAAACCAAGGACAATAGCCTGGTGCAGAACACTGACATTCACAGCAGATTGGGAAGGAACAGCTGGGGAGGCCAGAAGAAAATCGGTGAAGCTGTTGCCACAGGGACAACCAAGGATGGGATTTCAGGGTAGGAAGAAGAATTAAGCAGTCAAATGCAGAATAAAGGTAAGCTCTAAAGAGTATATGATGTATTCAAAGTTGGAAGTATTAGAGCTGGGAGCTTTAGAGCTGGACACTTGGATAAAAAAGATCTATGTTAAAATTTGCAGCTAACAAGCTTGTCCCATAGTGCAGAGTTGGGTACTATGCAGGGAGCCAGATCCTCCATGGCCACCTGTGGTTGCAAGGCTTTGAAAAATACACATGTGTATGCATGCCCAAAATCTTGATGAGAAGAAAGAATGCAGGAAAAAGCATTGCATCATGACCATGCCCTGTTTGGAGAGGTGATTTCTCTCTGTCTCTCTCTGTTTCTTTCTGGAGAGTGCATACGCCCTCTAACAATTTAAAAAAAAAAAAATTGCAGCTAGAGAATGTAAATAGATAGTCCCGAATACAACTTCCATTCTACTCACAAATGGAAAGAACTGTACACATTCACTTCAGTTCAAATAAATTATACAAGATACTTCCAAGCTATGCCTGCCTTTAAAAGATATCACACATGTCCAAATACAGGGTGACCCCAAATATAAGGTGACCTTTCTCCCCCAACTTTTCTGATTAAAAACTCATGCTCCTCAGAAAAAGCTTTTTGCAAAACACACATATTTAGTTTTTAGGTATGCAACAGAATTATCAAATAACTATACTATTTAGCTATGAAGCTATACAATCATATTTAAGTCCATATGCTAAAATGTCAACACAATTAATTTTAGAAATACTGTTTCTACACTCTCACATTTCATAAAACAATTTTATTCAAACTTGTCACAGGCAGGACCAGAACAACCCTTTGAGTCATCACCCAAGTTTCCAGTGTAAGATGATCTTTTGATCGACTGCATGTTTGAGAGAAAAGCACTTCTTAAACCAGTATATGATGTACTTGCTAG